CTATTTTAGTCAACAACCCTGATATTCAAAGAGAATGCTGTTCTTGACCAGAGAGGGAGGTCTCTGCATTTCTCATCTACCATTAACACTTCCTGCCAAGAGGTGCAGAGGGAGGGCACCATCCCCCAGAAAAGGCAAAAAAAAACAAAGAAGAAACCCTATCCCTCCTTAGCAGAGTGCTTCTTGGAAGTCTTATTAAGCCAGCTACAATTTGCCTCCTGGAACTGCAGCAATGTTATATCAGGAATGGAACTGGGACCAGTTTATTTGCTGTTAATAGGCTCCCTAAGCAGTTTAAAGAAAAAAAGAAATATAAACCTGGGAAAACTCCAGGCTTACTACCAGCTGATGAATCAGATCAGTGATATTTCATTACTGTTCATCTGTCTGGGTATCTCTGCTCTCTGGATGGTGCTGTATACAACAAAGTTAAACCACGAAGCTAAGCCCTTACGTGTTTTCTGTAATACACATTTTGCTGTAGCAAACTAAGGTGCTGTGTTTTTGAACAATCAAGTCCTTAAGATGGCACATATGCAGCCACAAAGAGCAGAAGCTTCCCTTGCTTAACTGCTGCTAGTAACAGAGATGAGTAAGAGACTGCTGCTGGGAATAACTTCAGGAATACCTAAATTGATGTTGCTGTGGTTCAATGAAGCAGTGATGTTTGTAGATAATTAAAATACAGCTATTCACATCTGGTGGTCAGTACCAGTGCCAACATGTACTTCCAAACATAACAGCACAGTCAGGCCAATACTGTCCGAGATGTGCTTGAAATGTGTCCTTGTTTTATAGGGCAGAGCTATAGAAACTTTTATGATTTACCCAAACTCTTCAAGGTAGCAAATCCTACAAGAAACAGCTGTGACTGTTCATATCAGAGCTGTAAAGAGCTAAAGACAGTATAAGACAGCAATCCCCTCTCCTTTTTTTCTGCCATTCGTTGTCATGCTCACGTCAAGACAATCCAGTCTGCCCAAAGACAGGACCTCCAAGACCCAGGAAAAAGCGTTCCATTTGCCATTCTCTGTGACCCTAACTGAACTACACACAGCTTACACAAAGCTTTCACAAACACATTTTGGGGCTCGTTGTTTGGTTCGGGGTTTACTTTTTCTTCTCCATTTAAGGTCATTTTAATGGTGAGTTTTTCTTTCCTGATCCTGGTAGAGGTCTTGTCTTTGCTGGAGTTGAATTCTAACCAGTTTTGCCGGCTAGAATACAATTAATTTTAAATCAAACTCTCTATGGTTAATCTTGCATGGCCCGGAGCAACTGCCCAGCTCACAGAACAAAGGGTCTTGTATCCTATGATCATAGGATCTCTCCTCCATCCGTAATTTATACTAGTTTTGCAATTACTGGAAAACTAAGTTTGAAGTGGGTTTTGAGGAAGAAATCAAAATTGAACCAGAAGCAATGAGTTAAAAACTATGCAGGTAGCTTCTCCATAAAAACTAAATACACAGGTAAAATACACAACAGTCTTTTCCAGCCTGGGTTCTGTTGGCTCGAGGGCAGGCCAAGACATGTAGCAAACACAGCATAGTTGCCTGCAACTAAAGCTTTGGGTTGCTTTCAGCTGGTCATCTGAGCAGAAGGAACTTACCCGATTTCCCTAGAAGGCATATGGTCTATCAGCACAGATAGCCACAGCTGAAAAATAGCATTTCCTGGGGGCTGATCACAAGAATTGTATTGCAATGGAATGAACAGAGGGAGAGAAATAGGGAAGAATATGCGGGGGGGGGGAGGAAAGCAAAATCCAAAATACAGATCAAAGAGTGAGTTTAGTAGCATGAACTGTTCACAACTCTGTCACAAGACACTGTTTTTCTTAGTAATGCAAACTCCCCAACTGCTTGACTGGGAACAACATGAAATCTGGTCTGTTGTGGAAATGGCTTTGGTTTGGGAGCATGCAGGGCCCAGGGGTATAGTGAATTTCGAAAGCAAGCCCAAAATGAGCTTGCCTCCCCCCCCAGAAAAAATACTATAGCAAATTAGACCTTGCCACGTGCAGACAATCAGCAATGTCTTGGCTGGCCTTCATAATCCACAGAGTGAAAGGAAATTCAGACCACTTTTGATGATACCACATTCTGAATCACACGACCACCAGAGGAATTCAGAGCATCATATTCCCAAAAGGAATGAAGAGGAATGTCTGAGCGTTGTCTTGAAAACAGAGCTGGAAAGCTGAAGAAATATATTTATCCCTGCTCAAACAAAGGAAAAGAATATCTACATAGCACTATATAAAAATGAGATGTATACAAAAATAAAATGTATCTAGAAAGAAATCCAATGCCAGTGACAAGACTATCTGGCCACTCACTGGTTCATTTCATCTCTACAACCCATACCTAAAAGCATAATTTACTGCCAGCAACTTCACAGTGAAGGTTTAATCAAAGACTGGATTTCAGCAAAACCTCCTTAATAGGAATCCATGACACCCAGAAAAAAAATCCCAATGGTTTTGACTAAGTGTGAACAAAGCTCTTATTCTGACAGAGAAAAGCTTTACATTTACTGAGGGTAAATCCCTTATCTCCTCTGCAACAGAACCTCCTCCGATCGATGTCGTCAGCTGCAGCATGACACTGTGCAAACGTACCTGTTGGTATTCTTGTCTCATTTGCAACTGGGATGTTTACAAACAAGTGCTCTGTCGCATAAAGAAACATACTCAGAAGCCAAATGCTTCATTTTCTACTTTCTCTGCTGGCTCTATTAAAGACATATGAGAGACCTCAGAGGTTGGGATTTTCTGACCTTACCTTTAATGCTGCATTAACTCTGATCAGTTGCGTAACAACGACTTGGGCATGGGAAAATTAATCCATCAGTCCCAAGGTTACTTTAACCTGGACCTGGTTTTGCTGATTATGGTACAGGGAAAGATCTTTAAAGGCGATCGGTTTGTTCTCTTTGGCTTAGAAATGTTCAGCCTTATGCCAGGTCTCCTTGACACAAGGCCTTGCTTTATAACCTAGAGCAAACTGAGGCAGAGGAAATAAACCCTCCAAGATCAAGAAGAACCAGGAGTAGAAACTCTTCATTATGAACTTAACAGTCTTCTTAATTCTAGCTATATACCTGCTACCAGTTTTGCTGTGATTCTCCACAACTGTGATTCTCAACAACTTTATATGGCTGCAAAGCAGTTGTATTGATTAAACCAAAAAAACTCTTTAATGTTTTACTGTGTTCTCCCAAACCTCCTCACTTTAATGGGTAAGTTTATTTGTACTGTCTTTGCCAGCTGCTGCAATGCATAACAATAACTCAGTTAAATGTCAGTTTCTTTATAAAATATCAGTTCTTACCGTTCCTGTCTTCAAGACCACACTTTATTACCTTGTGAACATCGCCCTTCCTGCATGGAGTTAATTAAGAAGTAGGAGAAGCAGAGCATTCAGCTGCAGCCATCACGTCAATACAAAGGAGCTGCTCCAAGACAGAACAAGGGAGAATTTGCCTACTCCACTTGTTCAACCACTTCTGTCACATGAGACGTGGCACTCACCTCCTCCCCATCACCACCGCTACACTCCGGGCTCTTTCCTGCTGCTCCTACCTGGAAGCCAGATGCCTGTTAACTACTGAGAGTTTTGTGATCTTCCTGGTAAAGCTGGGCACAAACAGACAACTGTGTTTTATTTGTAGACTGTGTGAGTCAGGAACAGCCTCATGTCACGGGGACTCTTGCCACTACCTGGCGATAAATAATGATCGACACTAACAGTGCCAACGGAGCTTTAATATTTGCCTTTCATCTGCTGTGGCAACAAGCCGAGAGGAACACTGGGTTTCTAAAGGGACTGATTTTAATTTGCTTGTGTAATTTGGACATTACATGAGTTTCAAGGGCCGTCTGGGTAACTCAGGCACACGCCAGCACCAGCCCACTCCATCCAGTAGCGTGAAGGGCAGTGAATGAACCAGCCAGCACCGGTTATACCACGCTCAATGGAGGAGATCTGAGCACCAAGCTGATGCAAACCTCTGCCCAGCTTCCTGCTGCTCACCAGCACTTCTCCTGCCTCCAAGAGCAACCAAGAGTTTCTGTCCTCAGCTGGGAATAGGAGGTTGGATCCATCAGCAGTCTACCTGATGGAAGCATCAAGGAATTTGGTAACACATCACAGTCCAAGTCAAATCAGGACCATGGTCTACTTTTTGGCTGTGTCGGACCTCTTCAAGCCTGCCTGCTTAAGCTTCACTGAAAGGAAAAGGAAAGATTCATCTTCTTTCACCCAGCATGAGTGACCACAGCGGTGGCAGCTGCGTTATCCCATGGGTGCACCAGAGGCTGGACAGGACCTCTTGAGCTCAAGCAGGGCTGTCCAGTTGGGCTTTGGTTATCTCTATGGATGGAGATCCCTCCCTTGGCCACGTATCCCAGCGAACTGCCACCCTGACCACACAAAACCCCACGTATTTCCATATGTTTAGCTGGAGTTTCACATGTTTTGGTTTGTGCCCATTCCAGAGCTGGGACCCATGTCCCCCACCCCTGAGAAAAAGCCACCTGAAACCCAGCTGCTGCCCCATTTTACAGAGGTTTGGAGGCCAGCGGCACCACTACGACTGCCCAGGAGTTTCACAAGGCACTTCCAATGCTGTGGTTGGAGTCAGGCTTCATAAACACTAAGGCGAGCGCCTCAGCACCACCCCGCTTCCCACCGCACGGCGGATTAACGCCTCCAGCCTACCCCCCGGCCCCATTCCTCCTCCGAGGCCGTCAGCACCTGCCGGGGGCGGGCGCGGCCGGGCCCTACCTGAAGACGCGGAGCAGGAGGCAGGCGATGAGCGCGGCTGTGAGGCCGCAGGCCCCGATGACGGCGGCCTTCAGCGCGGAGAGGTCGCGGAGCAGCGCGGGCACGGGCCGGAGCTGGGCCCCGCTGTGGTTGCCGGGCGCGCTGGCCGGCTCTGCGGGCAGGCGGCTGCCGTTCACCGCCGGCTCCTGGCTGCCGCGGGCGCCGGGCGCGGCCGGCAACAACACGGGCAGCAATAGGCAGGCCCAGAGCAGCAGCAGCGGGGCTGTGGAGCGCATCCTGCCCGGCTCCGGCCGCCGCCGCCGCGCCGAGCCCCGGAAGGCAGCGCCGGCCCCGGCCCGGCCTGTCCCGCCTCCCCGCCTGGCACCGCCTCCCGCGGCCGGGGCCCAGCTGCCGGGCCGGGGTTCGCCGCGGTTGCGAAGGGGCCGCTCCCGCGGGCTCCGGCGCTCGCTACCCGCCCGCCCCGCGGTCCCCGGAGCCCCGGCGGTGCCGGTGCCAGCGCCATTTCCTCGCCGGTAACGACTGCTTTAACCACAACACGCACCATCTGCCCAGATGCGAAGTGATCCCAGGGTTCAAACTGCGATCAGACATGGAACAGACGTGCCTGTGATGCCGGTTCAGCGCGGCGTAGCTGCTGAACTCAAGTATTTATAGACCAGATTTGCTGGGTTTTGCCTTTCCTCTGGTCCCCCAGGCTTTGCTTCCCGGTTAATTTATATATTCCTGTTTCACATCTTGAAATCTTAAAGATTCATGGAAATCCCAGACACTGTGCTGCAAACCATCCCGGGTGTGCTGAGCGTACAGTGCCATCCACTGAGCCAGGCAGGGGAGTAAATAGGGGAGAAGGGAGCCTGTGCTGTGATAACTTTCAAGATATAACTTACTTTACTCCCTGTGTTTAGTGTGAGCATGAGTTTCCCTGCTGCAAAGTAACTGTGGGAAGAGGGGATGTTGCTACTGAAATGAAACGAGGAAGGGAGAGAAGAAGGAGCTGATTTCCTTCCTTTTGAACTCTGTAGTTCAAGGGTGGCATGACTGGGTGTAATCGGTAGGAATGTGTGACTAAACTGCAAAGATTACAGGGATGTATCCCTGCTGGCAGTGTCCCATTGGAAAGGTGGCAGTGAAATAACGTGTGGTCATCGTCTTCCCTACCTAGTTGGGATGCTGTATGGAATGCCACCTGCTCAGTTAGAAAAGCATCCTATGTTATTTTGCAGGAAGTTCTTTGGGATGAGGAAGTTTTGACGTGCACAATGTGCAGAAGGCCCCTTAGGCTGCGTGAATCGGTTACTGTTGCAGCTTGATTTCATTGCTGACTTTTTGTGTACTTGCCCAGTTTCCAAGTGGGGCCACAGTTTATTTCTGTGCAGGAAGAGAAATAAATAGATAAAACCCAACACAATGCAGGAGGTCAGGTCAGTGATGCAGGCTCTGAGCGCTTCACATGATTTGTTATTTGTAAACACTGGTGTTGGCCCTGCCTGTTTGCCAGCTGCTGCCCAGCTTCTGTCAGATTCCTCTTGGTCCTACCCTGCTGTTTCTCTTGCAGTGCTTCTCCACAGCACAATGGCAGTGTTCAAGGCCAGGCTGGATGGAGCTTTGGGTGACATGGTCTAGTCTGAGGTATCCCTGCCCATGGCAGGGGTTTGGAACTAGAGGATCTTAAGGTCCTTTCCAACCCGAACCATTCTGTGATTCTATGGAAGAGGAGTAAGGGGCTTCCAAAGCAAGAACCACCTCAGCTGTTCATGGAGTTTAAGGTCCAAATCCACATCTACCAGTTGTCTTTACTTGTCTGTGTGAAATCAGAGCTCCACAGTGCCATGTGCTGGGCATGTACCTGGGGAAAGACACTCTTCACCCTCAGAAACTTGTATTTCACAGTCACTGTACGGGGTGGGTATGAATCCAGTCGGGATTCTGCCTTCAGTGCTCAGCTGTTAGACAGGAGTGATGGGTAAACACTAGCTGATGTCTCACGCTCATCCTTACATCTGTTCCTTTCATTTTCCTTGGGCCAGGAGAAATTAATAGCAAAGACTCCTCCTAAGCTTGCTCAAAGCCAGCTTCACCACGGAGTGATGCAGGATGGGTGGGCAGCACAAAATCCTTCTGAAAAGCATGAGAAATTAATATTGCTGGACCTACAGTGTTCCTGTGATCATCTTTAACCTTATCTGGGCATTGCTGCTGTGGTGCTGGGCTGGGAAAGGGGCTCTGTGGGCTTTGCAAGCCAAGTTGTTGTGTTGCACATCTATTTTTTAAAAGAGGCAGACTTATTCCTGAAATAAACATTCTGCAAATGTGCAGAAGGATTTGCTGTATTGTATGCACCTATCTGTGTAATTGCCTCTGAAATGCGCAGCCTGAAACATCTATTACTTGACTAGCATAAACTGGGCAGTGGTAGATGCTGAATGTGGCACTTTTGTTTGACTCTTATTGCTACTTTGTTGGCGTTTTTTATATTCCTGTGACAGATACTTCAATCTAGTAAGATTTAGGCTGAAAGCCAGCACAGGGAATTAATATTTATTGTCGCTGCAGAGTTCCTCTATTTGACAAGGTGCAGTGTATGGTGTCAAATATATTCCTAACAGTCTGGAAATGATAAAGCTCAAAATTCTTCTGGCTTGTTCCTAACCCCCCTAAGAAGTAAAGCTTATGCTGATGGGGGTATGGTACTCAGGTGAGAAGCTGCACAGCAGGAGGAAGAAGAGGAAGGTGTTAACCATGTGTAAAGTGCAGTTCTGTTTGTACCATTGCTCTGTCCCGTGCCTTCTAAGGATCTTATTGATACACTTTTCTGCCTGGATCTGACAATAGCTGGGAGCAAACAGCCTCTCTGTAATGGTGGTTAATGATTTTGATGCTTTTTATTGCATTACTTGCATTCTGTTCGGTTTGATCAGTGATGTTTAGATACGTGCGGTACAGGGTGACTCTGTCTGGAAACTGAACCTGCAGCATCAGGGGATCCCATAATTCATACCTCCATGTACCTCCTGCATTAGCCCTGCATGTCTTTTTCCACTGAAAGATGCCAGATAAATGCAGACGTGACCAAACACAGTGTTTCAGGACACTAGTGCTGAGATTATACATCAGCAGCACTGGGAGCTGAATCTGAAGCTCTCTGAAAGAAAGAGGAATCTTCCTCTTAGGCAACCCTTCCAACTCTGCATTGCTTTGAGGAGCTGAGCATGTGCCCGGAGGTGTCCGTGACCTTCTGGGAGGAGATGGAGCAGAGATGCTGTCTGGTGCTCCACAGCATTAGTCCTGTGGCTCATCAAGGGAGCCACAGAGAATGGGCAGCATGGGATGGGTGGGTGAATGTGTAGCATTCATGTACAGCATTCATGTAGGACAATTCTGCTGCTCCTTCTGGCAAGGGATTGCCTCATTCTGTGGCTTAAACATTGTACTTGGAGCCTGGAGGACCCAGATTTATTCCATGATGTCTCCATTCTGCAGTGCGGAGGGATGTTATATTCACCATCTTGTGCAGGATGCTGAGGAGCTGCTCAAGTACAATTTAATTTGGTTTAGCTCTTTAATTAAGCCAGACTGGGCTTTGTTCCCACCTGTTCAATAGAAACCTCAAGTGACTGATTCTTAAGAAAATAATGTCTGAGCTCTGATCTATTTTTTCTGAGCGACACAAGGTATTTAGCGGAGTCTCTTCCCCTTCATATATTAAGGCTGAACCAGTGAAATATGGATGAACTTGCTTGAGAACAAGGCATAAAGCCCCAGGAGGTGTTGTATCTCCTGAGGACTTCCCAGGTGTCAGCTACCTTGAGACAACATGAACTGATCCAGCTGTCCTTGCTGTATTAACTTCCTTTAGAGCCAGAAGAGGGAGATTCTACCCCAGAAGTAAAAATACTAAACCAAGAAATGCTATCCTGGAAAGGAGTCCTGAAAGTGTAAGAAAGGGGCCTTCATCTTGATGATGGTCATGGAGTAGGGCCTTCCAGGTTTTGTGCCCCTCAGAATAACATTAGGTAACATTAACTTGCTCTTCATATTAACGTTCAAACACATAAATAACCTGTTGGATGAGAGGGAGCGTGGATGCTGTTTTACAGTCCAACTCCTAAAAAGATGCCATTAAGGTGGGAAGCAAGGCATCTAAAAGCTCTGTCAAACAGCATTATCAAAAGGAAATATTTGCAGATTGCTACTATATAAATAATGGGCAAATATTGCTCCTGAATTCTAAATTAACTTTTCAGTCCTAGCTCCATATTCTCCAGATACTGAGGACTTTGTGAGTAAATGCATTTGAGATGAGGAGTCATTGCCACGACAGTTTTGGAGGCTATAATTTGTTTCATACGGATTCAGGGTTTTTTTGGGGTTTGGGGGGTGCGGTGGGTTTCTTTTTTTTTCCTCATGGATGCCTTCCTGATATTTCTCATGTCATTTGCCTAATTTGGGAAACATTCCTGGTTCCTGCTCTGGAATGTGGCATTTCGCAACTCTCTTCTTCAATGACATCATGTGGTTTGTTCGGAACAGAGCAGTAATAAAGAAGAGCAAGGGGAGTTTACCAGCCCTTCTATAATAAACATTTTATGTTAATAGACATCTTTGGGGGATCTGAACTGATTTGTGGGGTTTAGATTTTACCTGGTAAATTGTGTTTTCCACAGATATAGGACAAAGAGTCCCACTTGGATAACAAGGAAACCACATCTCAGTTTCATCTTCCCCTTAGTGGTGGATGTAGATGCCTGCATTCCCCAGAGGAGAACAGGACTTTGAGAAGTGGAGAGGAAATTCAGAGTCAGTGAAAAAGGCAGAAAGTGTTTGTTTCCCTTTCTTGCTTTTTCTTCCCTGATACAAATAGGAACCTGGAGGAGAGGGCTGTGCTGATTGCAGGGGTGAGAGATGGTGAAGCTTATCTCCCCGCTGAGCTGTTCTACACCTGCTCAGCATCATTATAAGTTTAAGCTCTCACTTGCAATTGCACTTTCTATACAAGAGTCTGGTACTGGCTAAATAGAAGAAGCGAGAGTGTTTCCATATGCAATTGCTTCTGGGTATGGCAGATTTCTGTATTTACGGATGCCTATTACAAGAGCATCCCCATTTGTGGGGAAGGCTCTTCATGCATTGCTTAGCAATGCATGTGAAGCTCAGGCTGCCCTTTCCTTTGTCAGAGGAAAATCATCAGAGGCTCTCTGATGGCCTCCAGGCAGCACCCAGATGTATTTTTAGCTCTCAGAATAGGGGAGAAATTGCACAGAGAAGAAATAAGCAAAGGAGTTGAAGCTGGCTCAGTTGTTGGATTTAGGCAAGCTGGATTTGCAGCAATGAATACACGTTTCTGTGTGAGAAATGGAATGTATACAAAATGAGGCAAATCACCTTCCCAAGGATTTTGTGCAGAAGTAATATACCTTCTGGATAAAGAACAGGGTTCCAGTGAGGAAGGAAATAAAGTGTAACCTGTAAAGGATCAGTGCTACATGAGCGCACCTCTGACGTCTCAAAACTAAACACCCAGGGTACTGGCAGAGATAGAAATTCAAGGAGCGACCAGGTCTCAATCAGAGTCTTTGGGCTTGGATGTCAGACCAGAGAGCACATGATATTTGCAAGGATAAATCATTCTTCCAGTGGCTATCGATAGATAACCTCCACCATCAGAACAGCAAAATTGCAATGCTTCACCTACCACAAGTGGTCTGTGTGAAGCCCTATTGCTAATTAAAGACCAGTGATCTAGAGCAAGCCTCAGATATACTTGGACAAGCCTGTCTCCTTTGCACATTTCTAGTTAGCACATTATATTAGCCTGTTATTCCTATAACCTTTCTAAACCATTTATGGCTTTTTTTGCAGACACTTAAAAGCTTTATTGCTGCCAAAGGCTTGCAATTTAAGTCTATGATAAGCAGCAGCTTTCGTTTAAACAAAGGTTGGTGCAATCATTAAGTCGGGGTGCAGAGATTATCTCCTGAACAGGTTCCTACACTATCACTAATACACAGTGTCGCAGTCTAGCAGTTAATCTGAAGTAAAACCAGGGAAAAGAAGGACACCATTAAACCACAAATCTTTGTTTAGTTTGGATAACAATAATCAAAGAACACAAAAGGCGATTATGACTTTGCCTCCCACTGCTTCGCTGCCTATTCATGCAGTACGTCCTGCCTGTCCCGCTGAAGTGCAACATGAAGGAAGCTGACAAATAATACAAGTCTTTATCTTTTTCAAAGATTATTTGCAGATTGTGTCCTTAGACTGTATTTCTTCATCCTTTCAACTGCATAAACTAAACTCATCGGGGTGGTAGCTGCTAATCTTGCAGCCTCAGATGGCTTTGGAGGTTTATTGATGATGTTAAAGGGACTGCCAAATAGCAGGACTCCAGCCAAGTGACCTGGATGTGAAAAGAGCAGAATTAGATTTTATACCATCTCCTGGTCCAGATGAACTGTTGTCACCCCCAGACATGGCACTTACTTTGTCATTGCAGGAGAGACAAGTCAGATTAGGTCAAAGGGGAAATATGTGTGCTGTATTAGTATTCCTCATCCATCAATATCTGCTTACCTATGTCTTAGAAGTCCTGCACAAGAAGCAGAGAATCCACCTGAGCCCTTGCAGGATGCTGCATTAGCACATCATTGTCATTGTCACTTTGACAGCAACTCTGAGATGCCTGCACACCATTTGTCACGCTTTGGAGCACGTTGCTGGTCTCCAGAAAGCCTGAAGCTCAGAGTTGCTGTGTGACTTGTCTATCCATTCCCTGGTGGAACACCTCACCCTGATGGGTGCCTCCCCATCCCACACTGTGGATTGGAGGGACCCCGCTGTTCCCAGGTGCTGTATTGTAAAGGATGCACCATGACAAAGTGCTACAGAAGAGATAGTTATTGAGAGCAGCACGCCTTGCCAAGCATCTGCTTGCAGTTCACAGGAGTCCCAGCACCCAATGGAGCAGGGATGAGACAAACTGCCTCCTGGCTCTGCTGAAACATTCCCCTTTAAGCAGCAGCAGACTTTAATTCTGGTTTAACGGAGCAATGCCTGCAACTGTCATCCCAGCACCACCCTTTCTCTGGGAATGACGGTGAGCTTGATTTGCCCTAAGTAACTCCCCAGTGGAGCAGCTCCCCTGGAAGCTGTGAGATCAAACACTTGGCATCTTGTTACAGGAATCAGCAGATAGAGGATTAGAGACGTGCAAGTGGCACCCACTCTCTGGGGAAGAAAGGGAAACATCTGTTAACATCTGCAGCCAGGCTTCCAAATCCCCAGTGTCAACCAGACCTAAGCCTGTTTCATGGCAAGATGGATACCAGGAGGAGGACCTCCCAAAAGGTGTACTGCCAAGGGACAATCCATGAGCTTCTGCTATGGTTTGCTGCTTTCAAAACGGGCTGGATGCTGCAGCTCATTAGTGAGGATTTTGGTTGCTTTTGCTGGATTTCCAAAGAAGGTTCTTTTCTGTTTTTACTTTAGAAACATGAAGCTTTATCTTTGGCTGGAGGGTGTCTGAGGATGAGTGGAGAAATAGTAGGATTATGACCTTACTAGATCAAAAGATAAAGACAAGCAATTGGGAAAGGAAGGATTATTCCTTATTTTGCTAGAAACCCGCTGTTGCTTGTTATCATCTGTTTAATTCAAATATCAGAAAGACACCTAGGGTAAGAATCTGGATGTTCAGAAGCTTCAGGTACCTCATCCCTTAAAAAAAATATCACACCTACTTTCCACTCTGTTTAAAAATCAAAGCAGAAAAGGAAACGTCTTGATAGTTCTCAAACAGCAAACATGTTTTTCTGGCTAAATCTTCAAGCCTCTGTTACACATGAGGAGTAGGTGTAAAATGTATTTGTTTCCTTTTCGGAGCACCTTTAAATCAACTAAATAAATGTCTCTTCCCACTACACAAATTGTCACTTAAACCAGCCTTTGTGAGCTGCAATTTCCACCCATCCCTTGGTTTTGCTGCCTGAAACACCATTTAAAATATTTCCAGCATCACTCCAAATGCAGCTGAGGGTTTTTGGAAGGGAGCACTTCAAATAAGGTTGGCTGTAAAGAATTTGCCTGGCACTAAACATCTGCTGGCAGTGCTGCTATCAGCAGAGTGCCACAAACCCTTCCTCACCTGTGGGCTGCTAATAGGTTTACTGCAGTTGAGATGAAAGATGCCTACTCCATAAGCCTATCCTGTTTCTCCCTATTCTGTTCCCCCAGTGCAAACACCTGTGAAAGAAGGTAGCGTTTATGAAGGCAGGAGTCTAACAGCCCTGTTTGGAGCCAAGCATAACAAACAATCCTCCCTAAGGAGGTTAATTCGCCATGGTCCTAGCTGTGAGGATTTGCTAGTCTAGCTTCTACTCCAACTCCTGTCCCCTGTGCAGTCTGCTCTGCCTCTAAATCCTGAGCACCAAGACCCTTACAAGCACTTCTCCAGAGCCAGATGTACTTAATGTCTTCTAGTGTACCATTAACTTCATCTCAAACCAAGCCCCTTAAAATTTCAGCCCAGATCTACCCAGTGAATCCTAACTGTTAGAGTGAACCTGTCAGAGCATTAAACCTCACACAGCCCAGGCAATGGGATACCCATTCTCTAGAAGAAAAGCTGATAGAAAAATCAACTCATTTGAATTCAGCTTGGCAAAACTTCCACTTCATGTCATGCTTTCTGCCAGCAGAATGCAAAGCCTTTTTATCTGAGTAAACCACCTCCAAATCCCTGGGCAGTGGGTAATAATGTCGACTTCTGTAGAGTGCTTCAAAGCATTTCTTCAAAGCCTTCACTACCTGTACAACACCGTAATGACCTTTATTTTACAGCGAGATAAAGCCGTGCTCAGGAGCGGTGCAGGCCAATGGAGTAAGGTTCCATGGCACAGCACGCTCTGCATGAGGATTTGTACGTAACACTTCGGATGAGCAATGGGAGCGGTAAATTGGAAAGAGCTTCTAGGTCACAGAAGAATGAAATCATGCAAACTGTTGCTCCACAGGCAGTAGCTAATGCCAGACAGAGTGGGGTGAACCTACAGATAAAAGCCATTCCTCTGCTCTCACCCAATACAAATCCTTTGGCACCTTTAGGTGCTCCAGGGCCACATAAAGCAGTCTGGTGTTGGGTTCTCTGGTCCCTGTTTCCTGCCTGCACTGCTCCATCATGCTATTCCTCCAGCATATCCTTCCCTGGGTGCTGGTGAAAGCTCTTTGACAGAAGGAAACCTGCACAGAACATCTCTACACAGGCTAAATTTGCCTGGTTCCCTCTAGGGCTTATAGATTCATGATCCATTAGCAGTTGAGCGTGTCCATAGGAGTCCTCTGCCTGCTTCTAGTCCCCTTGTCCTCCACCTTCCAAAAGGTCTGGCAGATGGGTTAAGGGAACTGCAGGCTACCTGCACACCACGGCAGACTCCGAGTCCTAAACCCTGTTCGGGATCCCTGGAACCCCTCCTTAAATCCAGCCCCAAACACCTAACCACAGGAGATACAGTAGACATTTCCACTTGTGAATTTTCATGCGAGTGTAGTTTTCATAGAAATAAGAGAGTTAGTTTTGCTTCCCTGAATAATCCACTCTTGTCAACAGAGGTTGCTAATAGAGGCTCTGCCTGGGCAGTTGGATGGAAATGAATGTATCGAGGAGACAAAGCCTTGTGCAGTTTGCAGACGTGACACTAGCTCAGTGAATGGAAATGATACACCCAGGTTTTTTATAGAAGATTCTTGGTAGATGTGTTTATTAAATGGCTTGCCTGCAGAAAGTGCTAAAGGATTCTCTGTTGTTTTCCCTTCTGGCTTGCTGTATCACGTATCTCTAGGGTTTCAGATGGAGCATCTCCACATACACTGCCCTTTTTTAGGCTTTTCCTCTTTGGCATGATCTTAATGAGCACCGCCTTTAAAGTCTACAGGCATCAGCAGATATGAGACTTCCAATCTGCCCTGCTCAGATTCATTGCACTGAGAGATTTTTCACTCTGAGGTTCGAGTCTATCCAGATGCCTTTACATTATCTTTCTGGTTTCCCTCGTGTTTGTGATCCCTTTCAACTTCCTGTCACTCTTGTGAATGCCTGTCATCCTTTTGTTCAATCCTTCTTTAGAGTCATCAATAAAAACGTCAAAAAAGACCAAAGACCTGATCTCTGGGATGCCCTAATAAACATAATTCTATAATACAGTAGCTCCCTGCTTAGTATTCCTGTTTCTTTGCAGTCACTCAGCTGTGATTTGGTCCATGGACTACCTCACTCAGATCATCCAAAGAGCTAAATTTTATGATATGATATCAAATGCTTCACCAAATGCAAACATGCTCATGGATTTTTAAGATCAGAAAGAAGCATGAGAGCATCAAATATGCTCCTTTCAATCCTCGGTTGAGCTTGCTAATGGGTATTGCTAAAGCATCTCTTCCAGGAAGTCTGGAGTTGAAGACCCCATGAGATGAGAAATCAAATAGTTTGCTTCATTAATCATACATACTGCTTTTTTGTGTGTTTGTTTTAAAAAACTTTGTGTTAATTTTACTTTCTAGGCATTGTTTCTGTGTCTTTTCCCTCTAAAGATTGTCTAGTAGCCGGTTGTTTCTCACTATGCTTATTGATGTTTCATACAGTGATCTTTTGGGGTTTCCTTCTCGTTTTTTATTAACACTGCTCTTGATTCTGCAGATTTGTCTTTTCCTATGTACCTGCAGGCAGAAGTGAGTCAGTCTCTGTGATGAGGAGGATGAGAACTGGAGTTCCTAATTCTCCCCATAAACAGCTATCTGTCAGCTGTAGCGAAGGCTTCTTTTCCTGCACATGTTGCTGTTGTTTGTGTGTCCCCTGATGTGCTTTAATTTTCATGTCTTTATACATAACTCATTTTTGATCATTTAAAAGGGGAACTAAGGTTCAAGATTATCTTTACACAATGGCCCTGATTCCCTGCTCACCCAAATGTGAGCAGATGTAGAGCAACTGCTTTGAAGTCAGTGATGGAAAACGGGTATAGATGTCAGGGGAGACAGATACACTCTCTTTTGATATCTCTGGAGCAGGTCATGCAGAAATAGTATCCCAAACAATATCTATGACCAGCTGCTCGTCATGTGCCTCCAGTCATTCTCCACATACCTCACATCCCATCTCCCAGCTGACAAGAAAACCAGCTAGTCCAAAAAATGGAATTACCTAATTTGCTTCCCCATTATCCGAGGCTTGTAATAGAGATGTCAAATGACCTGCTGTATTTCAGCAGCAGAACTGAAGAGGCGACTTGAGTCTCAGGTGTCAATTCTCACTACATCATATTTCCATTTGCAAAGGTCAGGGTCAAGCCTGGTGGGTTTTTTTTTCCTTTGTTCAGGAAGAGCGCCCTAGAGATTAAGTGGGATTCTTCCTGAGTTAAAGAGGAAAGGAGAGAAAGACCCACAGGATTTAATGGAAAAACCTTACGTCTCAGGTGCTCTTATTGAGGGTAGTTCTGCTGCCTCACATTAGTTGAGCACTGGGAGCATCCTATGGCTGCGCTCCACGGCCTCAACCCATAAATTGTGGCCAGGATGGTCCAGGCTTCATTTTGTCCTTTGATTTCAGCCAACAAGCACGGTCTCTTGCCTTCCTCCATGGCAAGGACAGTGACTCACCTGCTTTGGATTCCCCAGAGGCATCAGTGGAGGAGACAGGCAGCTCCCTCCTCACACCCATACCTGTGAGGGGTATTAATCCCACAGGCAGGGAATCAAGGAGGGAGAGATATTTAAACATTACTTGCTCAACCTCTGAGTCCAAATATATGGGTGCCTGGGTCTGGGCTTCATCTTGAGAGCTGTAAATAAGGACCTGTAAGCTATCTAAAGCTTGTAAATCTCCCTGTCACCCTGAGAAATCAACTGACATCGTCAGTCGGATCTGCCAGGACACATTTCATTATGCTCATTACTCAGGGTTGAAAGCAAAGTGCAGCCTGCATTGCTTGGACTCTGAAGAGAAAGCAGGGTGAGCACAGTACCCATCCAGACAGTGAGTAGAGCTGAGGTGCTTCCTCTCCTGGGCTGCAGCATTAGAAGGACGTGTGTGTGTTTGGTTTCCTGGCATGGAGGTTGCCAAGGAAGCAGAGTCTCCTCCACAACCATCTGCTTTGTCTCGTATGGCATCAAATATGTCAAGGAGATTTCTCCCCTGGGCCATCATGTAGACGCTTGCTGGTGTGTTTGACTTGCATGGTAGTGAAATGCCATAAAGTTAAATGAATTATTCCAAAAGCAGAGAAGGTGAAAATCTCTGCTGTGAGCTTAGTGCCATGGCAATAGGAAGTGATTTTGCTCTTGGGTTTGAGTTTCACAGTGTCAGAAAGGCTCACATTTTATATCTGAGTACCAGACGTCTCCATCCTTGTTCTTGTGCCTAAGTGAATGTCAGCCCCAGGCAATGAACTCAGGCCAGGGCCCTGTAGCAGCTTTTCATAAGCTCTCCAGCTGCATGGCTTCCCATCCATGGCAGCTCTTTGTAGACATGATGGAGGGCACAGGACCTGCCTGCAGTTCAGTGACAACAGGGTGAAGACATCCTGTCTTCCCTGTCCATCCTTTTACAGCGGGAAGCAGAGGTTTCTCTGGGCTGAAAGGGAGCAGCTTCTGTGAAGTGAGCAACGGGCAGAGTGAGTCAGGGAGCACTGATCCACATCCTGCACTGTGAAGCTGCTGCACAGCTCACTGGGGGCTTTTTGAATAGACAGGCCAAGCCCTGGCTAGCAAAGCTACATCCAGACAGTTGCAGTGATGAATGGGGTGTGATTCATGTAGCAAATATACTCCCATGATGGAAACAACTTTGCTGGGGAACTGATGATGGTCAGCATAGGACAGTTGATCTCTCCTGGTTCCCTGCCCCTCTGCCTTAGATCCTGCAGGACGCAGAGACCACAGCTCACCCTCCACCAGCCCCAGGCATCACTCAGGTTGTAGGAGTGACTCAAGGCATCTGCATGGTTGGTTCTATTGGAAGGATGGATATATTTGTGGGCAGCTGAGAGTTGTTAAGGATCTTCATCAGGGTGGTTGGAACAGCTCTGCAGCACCCCCTGAAAACTCCCCATGGCTGTAGGGAGGCTGCAGTGACTTTATGCCACAGGCTTCACAGTCTGGGCTTGATAAGCAGATTGCAAGGGACCAAAGGGGTCTAGAAGAGGGCGTTTCTTATTTCAGACTGCAAATAAGAGTGGAAGTTGCAATAGGGCAACTCCTCAGTGGAAAACAGAAGGATGAAAGCTAGAGACTTCTATGCGACTGTGTGAAGAGGTGTTTGGGAATCCAGGGATGAAATAGTCCTTTAAAGCTCCCATTTCATTCTGCATTAGGGTGTAAAGAAACAATATGAGACAGTGTCAAAACCAGTTCTCAATGAATAGGAGGTTAAATCCAAGCAGTTTTATACCTTTCTTTTCCGAAGCTCAGGACCATCTTGCAGAACCTTTGGGGCTAAGAGAAGGGCATTTTCCTCCTTATTGGAAGCAGCATTGCTGTGCAATGCAGGCAGGCTGCGAAGGACCACGGAGCCTCATGTGGTGCAAGACCACCACCAGCCTGCCTTGGAGACTGCTGCTGCTGCAGCTTTCTATCCTGCTATATTTCAAGAGGGCTTTAGTAACTCTTGGGTCCTCTTAAAACAGATTGTCTGATTCCTGGCAGTATATTCTGAGCATCTGATTTGTTTCGTGGCACAGAAGCATTTGTGGACCATGATGTTTCTATGTCAACACGAGCTTGAGGAGGTAATATTTCCCCCAGAAGCGGTAGGTGTTAGAATCCAGATCGGAGCTCTCTCCACATCATTATTCTCAGTAAAGGACTATCTCAATAAGACATGCTGATATGTTTTCTCTAGGTGGGATTAAAAGCACTTCAGGCTCATGCACAGAATTTTGCTTTATAAGTCTGTGGGAGAGCGCATTTTCTCCACTCTGGTCCACTCTGGCGATGCTGCCTTTGTGAAATGGGAATAATAAACTTTCCCTGCCTCCTAACAGGGCAGAGAATTAACTCTTTGAAGTTTGTAAGGCCATAGAAATGCCTTGCTATTCTTAAAATTACTACTGCTCGGGGCTTTTAAACAGCTGCCACAATTCACTTCAATGGAGGCTGCCTTGAACTGGTGGGTGCAGTGAACACAGTATATCAGGTGTTAGGCTGAAGAAAAACTGTGGGATCTGTGAGGTTGAAAGGCACTATATAAATATGAGTTATTTGTAGAAATGGGTTTTATAACCCTATCATTCTCCTCTGGTGTACCTCTTAATCTAAGGGTTTCACTGTCCTTTACGAACACTTAACAAGACCTATATTAAGCTTCAAGCCTCTTCAGTGCTCATGTTTTACATTTACACTGAATGAATGCAGTGGGGACAGATCCATTGTTTGCCCAGCTTACACAGCAGGTCAGTGATGGGCCTGCTTTGGTAATGAGTCATTCATAATGACCATCTGCATTGAAAATGGTGTGAGAAACAGCTTCAGCGCTTCATGGCTTTGGGAGATTCGCTGCCTCTTCCTCTCCTTTAGGCATAGCTGATGGTCTCATTTAACAAATGTTAAAGTGGCTGCTGAGTGGATTTGGGTTACAGGCACAAGGGCCAGTCCCTGAGCCTCTGTGTTTGATCTGCATATACTTATTGTGTACCTTTCATAAACAGCAGGACAAGGATAATACATGAAATGTGAGTGTCCTCATTAATGCAGTTATGGAGGCACAGTGGGGAAACTGAGGCAATGAACAGGTATTTCAGACAATGTATGCGGTGTGCCAGACTTCTCATTGCTAGAAGATGTAGGATTTGGGCATATAAACGTTTCCTGAAGGAAGATGCATGAGGGTTTCACTGCTCCTAGCCCCTAGGTTTCTGGACTGGGAATCTTTTGAATCTGTATGAATCTTTTGGAGCAAACCCGTTTTTCCTAATCTTTGATTTAGTATTTCTGCTGGAGGAACAAAGAATCAAATGTTGATCCATAATGCTTAACAAGTCAGTTTAATCCTGGGTAGCTCTTTATTTTGCCTGTGAAGTCTCCACTGGCTGCTAAGTTACACATCAGGCAGCTGCAGACTGGCTCACTCCTGAATTGCAGCCATAGCCCCCAGTTCTTACCTGATCATAGGATCACACCATGGTTTGGATTCGAAAGAACCTTAAGA